CAGCATCTTGGCTTGCCTGTACTTTTTCAGATCCTCACGCAAAGCTGTTTTGCACTTGGCGTTAGCTATCATTCGCTCGAGATGGGTTGCATTCGAATCTTGCCTCAAAGATCTTCTTCTTTCGAGTAATACCTTGGTGACTGTCATAATGCGCTCCAGGTTCTTTTTGGAGGTCGCTGAGGCGTCATTATCGCTTTTTGATTTCGTGACTTTTTGTAGGAGCAGTTTCTTCACTATCGCTGAAAGAAGAGTCGCTATCGCTTTCATGTAGTGGAATAAGGAATGCTGCCAAACTTTCAAATTCCACATTTTTTACCCTGTGTGCTTCAACTCCATGAATCACAACGAAGCCGAAACATGTCGAGGTAGGCTCAAACACCTAATGTCGAATCTTCGAGGTCTGTGTTAGCGAATCACATAGAGTTTGGCACAACTCCTCAAAAGATCATGCTGAATGGCTTTTGTAGCATGTGCCTAACCCGCCCACAAGTGTTGGACCCATACCCTCTTCTTGCTATAGTATAAATTTAAAGTCGAACACCCTACCCCAGGGGAAAATAATGGCTCTTTTAATAGACCTAATAGAATTTCTGCCGTCGCATTAAAGGCAGCGGCTCGGTAAAATCGCGACCGCGGGCTTCTCACGACTGCATGGCCTTTTGGGCCAGCTGAGTCAGGTACTGTGCTTGAAGTGTCAAAAAAGTGTTTTTTAGAATTTGCCAGCATGCGGATTGCTGGAGAGGCGGGGCGAAGTTTTTCCGCCATAACCAGCAATTGACTGCAGAATACTGTAACTCACCCATTTTGGCGGCAATTGGCTGATCGCAGGTAATCAATACGATACAGTTGACGGCAATCCCCCGCCCCGCCTCTCCAGCAATCTCCAAGGTCGGCAAACGCTAAAAAAGCACTTTTTTGACTTTTCAAGCACAATACCTGACTTAGCTGCTCCAGAAGGCCATGTGGTTGTGAAGATTCCCTACTCGCGATTTTCCCGAGCCATTTCCTTAAGTGTGATTGTAAAGTGCAGTCACAGAAAATCGTATAGCTTTCAAAACTCAAAAATTCTTCAGGGCAGGATTTTGACTATCACAACCGGTTCCGAAGCATAGGTGCGATAGGGGAAGCCGGGCTCTCAACAGGTGAAGGGGGTCTCGGCTGTTCCCGCCCTTCCAGGGTGAAGGGGGTATGTGAGTCTAGGGGGGGGAGGAAGAGAGAAAAGGTAGAAAAGCGGGGTATGAAGAGCTCTAATTTGTACCTTATTCAGGCACAAATTGAAAAAAGAAATTAAAAATTTTTTAAAAGAAATTAAAAAATTTTAAAAAAATTGATTATGAAGATCTGCGCTCCTGTGCATCAACAAAAAACGAAAGCAATAGGTTTATCCCAGAAGATGTACAGGTTAGGAACAACTTCATTTCCTGCACATCATCATCAACAATATCACTATCGCTAACGTCAGAGATAACAAGTTCGCTGCCTGAAAAATCTTCTTCTTCCTCCAAAAGGTCATCGGAGTAGAAGTAGAATTGCGTGCAAAAGCGTTCTGAGTCGAAAATGGATTTAAAACTTTTTTCTTCTTCTAGGCGCTTTTGTGATTTTTTTCCTGGCCCTCTGGTAGCACCAGATCAACAGGTAAGTGACCAGTTTCTTCATACCATCTTTTAGGATATTTCAAAAAGTCATACGGTAACAGCCTGTCTGAACCACTTACACCAATCCTTCAAATGAAGTTTTTAGATAACAATGTGTTTAGAAGAAGGTTGACAAATCTTAAGTATTAGCTTAGATGCTCTATCGTTGTATGACTTCTGCATTGTGTTCTGATAACAGACTGGGTAGAAAATTTTTTTCTTTACCTCTGCCGTGCTAATCGGAATGGAAACTAGCTTTGCTAGTAAGTCCATCAGATTTTTGCGGTAAGTAAGAGCCAGATCGCATATGCTTTCGCGACACGGGAAGGAAATATTGCAAATAAATAAATTTTTTGGGCCTTGTCAAACTCTGGCTTCACCTCCTTTGGCATACGTCCTGTTAGCTGATTAGAAAGCTGCTCAACTTCTTCTTTAACAGCATCTGCGGAGTAGCCGAAAAAAGGAGGTACTATGCTGCGCGTTGGTTTTTTTTTCAATATCATAAGTCATAATGTCACAAGGCGAATAACTTCCAGAAGCATAAAGCACAGAGTTGGATTCGCACTCCAGCCGGGATCTAAGCGCAGTAACTATGCTTTGTACTATGACCTTCCTTTTGTTCATATCCATGTTTGTGAATTAAGCAGCCTTGAATTCTTCTGGAACCTGAAGATCAGCAATTAACTTCCTGGACATTTCCTCATTGAAACTAGACAATCTGCTTGGATTCCTTATGCAGGAAATCAGAGAGTTTCGCTTAATTGTCGACTCTATATTAATGCCGACAACATTATCGTCGGCTTAAGGTTCTCCTTCTGTCTCGCTGTTGAACTGGAAAACATGCGAGTCATCTGCGATTTTGTAAAGTATTCTGCCTGCCGTTTCCTCTTCAAACTGCCGACCTATCCAGAACATTGAGGGATACTTTAATAACATGCTATTCTTCTGAATGTCTTAGAGTTTTTGATTCATTGAAACCAACCATTCTCTACAAATTAGGTAAGGTGAGTCTAGAGCGTTTTCACGTACCAAAAAAACATAAACATATAACAACGATAAGCACGCTCAAATAGACGCGTTTGCTCACGTTCCCGTTAGTGCTGATAACGATGTCAATCCACAGCTCATTTTTTACTATTAACTTACTCCACCTCGCTCTTATTAGGTCGTCCAGAAAGTTTTTGCGCATGAATTTCAAAATTCATAACTTCTGATTTTTCCAACGATTTGACTGCTTTCACTTTTATTTGAAAGGGTAAGTCATGCTCTTTATAATGACATCTCATCTGCTTAGTAATGGTCATCTGTTGCATAGATAGGAGCGATAGAAGAAAAATGGTAAAAATTTCAATTTTCTGTGTAGGGTCATAAGCAATCGGAGACTTGCAACAAAAATCAGAGCAGTCAGTACTGTAGGTTCTTTCACCACTCTTTCTAACAATGCAAAGTTTGCTCCGATTGAGCGTCTCCATGAAAAGTTTTGACTTCTTTGAAAAATGCCAAAATAAATCAAATTCGCCTTTTTGTATTGCTTGCTCGGTTGTTTTGTTTTTGTTTTGATTTTTTATGACCCTACACAAAAATTCAAATTTTGAGTAATTTTGGTTTTGAGCTTCTATCTATGCAAAGACGACCATTACTAAGCAGCTGAGATGTCATTATAAAGATCATGACAGATACCCTTTCACATAAAAGTGAAAGCAGTCAAATCGGTTGGAAAAATCAGAAGTTATGAATTTTTGAAAATCGTGCGCAAAAACTTTCGGGACGACTTGTACAATGTGTAGGCTATTATGGGTCACCGGAGCAAATGATTTTTAGAGCCGGGAAGCAAAGAAGCCCTAACATGCTGTATACCATTCGAAAGCTGAGATCATGGAGAATCGAAGTAGACCGTCGACTTTGCGGTGGGTGCGGTGCGGTGTATCTCTCGGTAGAGGGGGGGGGCTAGAAAGAAGTCGACGGTCTAGGTCGAATCCCCTTTTCCTGAGCTTTCGAATGATGTATAGGTTGCTGGGCGAAAAGACTAACCAAATTTCAGCAATGGGGTGGAGATATTTACTATTAGCTTGCTTCAACCCGGCTCCACCAATGTATTGGCTCTTATCGGTTACCGGAGCAAATGATTTTTAGAGCCGGGAAGCAAAGAAGCCCTAACGTGCTGTATACCATTCGAAAACTGAGATCATGGAGAATCGACGCAGACCGTCGACTTTTTTCTGGGTCTTCTGTGCCGCGAGATATGAGGGATTTTATGTGCTTTAAAAATTAAATTTTTGTGTCCTCACTTTCTGCTCTCCAAATGAACGTTACGAAAAAGTCGACGGTCTACGTTTGTTACTGAAGACTTGCTCTTTAACACAGATAGATAATCGGCGGTGATTATGTCTTCATTTGGCAGAAATCTGCTATTGAAAATGGCCATGTTTTCAAATAAAATGCGGTGTATCTCTCGGTAGAGGGGGGGGGGGGGCTAGAAAGAAGTCGACGGTCTAGGTCGAATCCCCTTTTCCTGAGCTTTCGAATGGTGTATAGGTTGCTGGGCGAAAAGACTAACCAAATTTCAGCAATGGGGTGGAGATATTTACTATTAGCTTGCTCCAACCCGGCTCCACCAATGTATTGGCTCTTATCGGTTACCGGAGCAAATGATTTTTAGAGCCGGGAAGCAAAGAAGCCCTAACGTGCTGTATACCATTCGAAAACTGAGATCATGGAGAATCGACGTAGACCGTCGACTTTTTTCTAGGTCCTCTGTGCCGCGAGATATGAGGGATTTTATATTCTTCAAAAAGCAACTGATTTTTTGTCCTCACTTTCTGCTCTCCAAAATGCTACGAGGATAAATAAATAATGTAAATAAACATAAACCGCTTCTTTAGTAAATTTATGAGTGTACCTGTTGTTTGAGATACTTAGCCTGCAAAACCTTTTAATAACGACACATATTCTCAGAGTACAATATCAATTTCAACCCAGGTGAAGAGGTCATCGGGAGTTTGGCCTCAAAGTGAAGGGGGTAAGATCCATTACTTTTCCTATCGCAACTATGTTCCGAAGGTGAAGTGGAGGAAGAGTGGGTTGATTGGGGGTTTTCATGGTGTTGTGCAGTCGCACAAGAAACCAATGCTCGAGGAGAATGAACGAATATGCTGATTTGTTGTTTACGATATGCGATATAGTTGTGTGCACTATATATAGGCATTCCTTAGTAACTATAGTTCATTCTTAGTTCCTTCTCGTCAAGTAAAGAACTCGGTCTTCAATCGTCTTTCTACACACGCCATGGCAAACACAACAACTGGCGATCAGAACCCGAACCCGACCCCCAACATGGACCCAACCTATCTTCTGATGCTGCAAATCATGGAGTTGCGGAAAGAAGTAAAGAAAGAACAAGGATCCAGCGAGGATTACGTGATGAATGCACTCGCTACTCGTCTACCAGAATTCGATCAGAACCCGAGCCCGAGCCCGAACACGGATACGATCCATTTTCTGATGAAGCAAATCATGGAATTGTGGAAGTCTTGTCGAGAACCCATGGCTGAACTGACGAAGCAAGAATCCAACGAAGAGTACAAAGACTACTTGGAACTGCGGAATCACATGCAGATGATCGACAAAGCCATGGTACCTCAGGTCAGTGTGAATCGGATGAATGAGAACCCGCAAGTCAACGCGATGCAGCGAGACGAGAAGCGGAAGCGATTCATCGGTCACAAGCCCAGAACACATCTTTGTATGAACTGCGGAGCGAAGACCCATAGGACCAGGAAGTGCGAGAAGCCGATCACTGAATGCAACTACTGCAAGAAGCGTGGACATCTAGAGAAATACTGTCTACGTAAACTATATGTCGATGAAGCCAAGGACGTCCATCCTGTCGTCATCTCACCGCCTAAAGAAACGAAGTCGTACTGCAATGTGAAAATCAACAACACAAGTATCGAGTTACGACTTGACTGTGGAGCTGAAGATCGCGACACATGGATCAAGACTGGCCGACACAAGCTGAAGAACCCGAAACATAATTCGACTGCTGTTAATGGGACCAGCATTACATGCCATGGACACGGCACATGTGAGCATGTGCTAAATGGCATCGCCTTGAATGGTACCACAAATGTACTTGATGCACCAACTCTACTTGAAGTGCATTGGAACCAGAGCGACTGTGCCTTTCACAGCGATATCGGCTGTCACAATTTGAAAGCAGTGACCACTATGAACGATACACTTGACAAGAAGCAAACTCACCTGACAACGCAGTTCGCAGAAGTGTTCCAACCCAAAACAGAAGACGGCACGAAAGCAACGGCTGCCTCTGTGATCGAAAAAGAGGATGAGAGCAAGATATTCGGCAAAATCCGTTCAAAATCCAGTCAATTTGGAAATGCGGAGGTACCTGTTTCTTATGATATTACTCAATTCAGGTCAGGCGAAATCCGCGATTCTGGAAAAGCCAAACAAGTTCGACTCACTTTCCATCAGCAGTTCAATGAACAGGCCGAAAGAATCGTCGACAATTCACAGTGCCTAGTATCCAAGCCGAAAAGGGAAGAGACGTTAGCCGAGGCAATGATATCAAGCCCAACTTTGGATGACTGCTCCTTTAGTGAGATGTTCTTTGAATGCGAAGTTTATATTGCTCCAGGTCCGCTGTACTCGGCTGACGAGAAACATAAAGTGCAACGTAAGAAGATAAAGCGTCAACTTAATTCTCAGCGCAGAAAGGACCCACCGCTTCACTTAGAAGGGGAGGTGTTGTGCAGCCGCACAAGAAACCAATGCTCGAGAAGAATGAACGAATATGCTGATTTGTTGTTTACGATATGTGATATAGTTGTGTGCACTATATATAGGCATTCCTTAGTAAGTATAGTTCATTCTTAGATCCTTGTCGTCAAGTAAAGAACTCGGTCTTCAATCGTCTTTCTACACACGCCATGGCAAACACAACACATGGGAAGGGGGAAGGTTGTTTTCGAAAGAAGTAGGTCTGACCTTTTGCTCTCAACTCTGGGCCGGTAGTAATCCCCCTGACCTGGTGGCAGGTCTAGTCGGCAGGTTGGTGGCACCTTTTCCGTGAGGTGGCCAGAAAGTGAGACCCCAAATTTAGGCCGTCCCAGGCCTTATTCCAAAAAATTTTCCCGATAAAGATGCCGCCTCGACTCTGTAGAAAACTCCATAAAAGTCTGCGGTTCCAGAACTCCTCCTTTAGTGAAATATCTGGAAGCGCAAAAGGAGCTGCCGGCAACTTCGCGATGTCAGTTGCCGGCAACCTGCCGGCAGCTCGTCGAAATCCGCGAGATGGCAGCTGCCGGCAGGTCAGAGAGCACGGGAAATAGCATGCTCTTTTGAGAGAGGGAGCTGCCGGCATCTCGACGTGCCCCTACCACGTCGAGGTGGTGGCACCTTTGCCGACGGCGTCTGCGAGTTTGCGATTTGCGGCGATACCACACAATTTACGTCAGGCGAAAAAATCAAAAATTCTACTTTTCATCAAAAAACTATCATTTTTCTCTTTGTATGAGTTTTTCTTTATTAAAACGCCAACTTTCTTACAGAAAAAAAATCCAGTAATGCCTTAAAATCATAAAGAACACCATCTTTTTTGGCAATTTCTTATAAATTTCGTTTGCACCAATTTCGCCCCTCTCTCGCTCATATGAATCAGCTGTTCCTTCAGGTCAAAGTCTCTCACGCAATGTATCGATCCCTCTTACAGGCAGTCATTTACCAGCGCGTTTCTCCTATTGCTGGAGCAAACTGCAATGGCTGATCGAGTGGTCGAATGGTTAACAGGTGGCACTTAAAGTTAACGCGCTTAGGTTCGACCGCGCGCGAGGTAGCAGTTTTGCGGCTGTTTGCGTCGTCAAAATTTAATGTGCGAAATGATTGCGTGCTAAGGTTACACAAAATTATTAAAACCTATAATCACTCCGCGAGCTGCCGGCGGAGTTCGCATCTTTCCGCGATGTGTGCCAACTTGCCGGCATCTATGATGCCACCAGGTAGGGTAGATTACTACCGGCCCTGGTTCCAAGCATCTTACCTTTCACCACAGAGCACCGACATTCGCCCTAGACGGGTTCTAGCACCTTCTAACTTCGGAGAGTCCGGCCAATGCTTTACCAGCTGACTGGCATTATGAACTGAGCTGAGCTAATGAAGTGTTTATCAAGGAGTACTAAGGTGAGATAAAATCAAGATTAGCGCTAAATTAAACAAAGTGTCAACATTAAGGCTACCAATTCACACGTCTAAGGAAAAATTTCCTAAGTGAATTCTAAAAGGATAGAGTCTAATGGTGCTAATGCTCAAATGAATTATCTCAAGAAACTTGCAACATTCCAGGTTCTCGTCGAAGACTGAATAATCAAACTTGAAAAAGTACTTCACGAATAACTGATATCTTTCAAAGACGTTCAAACTCAAGTAATTGCTGTTGTTCCAAAATAGAAATTGACCACTTAGACAATCTTTGAAGAAAATGACACGCGCATTTTTCCTAGAAAGAATTATGAGGTTGAGGTACTTTTTTTCCAAACGATCAAATGAGCTTTTTCTCTAATCATTCGGATATCTGAACACATAAACTTTGAAACGTTTGGGTATGTTACTAATTTCTCGTTTCATCTCCTCAGTGTCCACTTACGATTGGGCATCATCAAAAAAAGAAAATTTTCAAGTATTTTCAAGTACTTCTTACATCGATGTACTAGATACCGAAATCCACCCGCATGTATGAATGCTGACTTGGCTAAGCGTTCCAAACACGATATGAAAGTTGAGAAACATTATCAAACATAATGAATGCGAGGACGGGTTTAGACCTCACGAGGAATGACAACTTCTCTGTTTTGTTTTATTATCCAAAGGCCTCCCATATCTTTTGCTGATCGAATTTATTGGTAAATAAAGCTCATAAACAATAACTTAAATCGCCGGGTGCTGCATGCCTCAAAGTTATAGCCATGAGGGTCCGCACCTGCTTTAGGTCTTCGACCTTCGCGTTAGTTCCTGATCCAAATTGAAAGTGAACTTACATATTCTGATACTTAGATGGCCCTTCTTGACTGACGTTGCCCCAGTACAGAATTTCCTCTGGTCCCCTTTTCTCGGTTCGGAATCCACGAGCTTCAGGAGCAAAAATCGTATCCAGCTGATTTCTCAGCTGGTCTATCCGTTCCACGAAGACGTCTGCCCATTGTTGGAGGTCACCCTCAGGGACGTTTCCCTTCGCAAAGAATCAACTCCGATGTTCTTAGTGTTCATCTGTCGTCTGTTTTTCTCACAATGTGACCGGCCCATATATGTTTCGCTCTCGCAACGTATTCCGCTGGGTCACGAAGACGGGACATTCTTCTTATATCCTTATTGCGACTCCGACAAGATGTTGCTGTGTCGGGTCACCTTATGAAGACTGCCTCGAGCGCTCCGTGGGAGGTCCGTAAAGCTTTCGACGTGGCTGCAGTGTTGGCTCAATTCTCAGCTGGTAACAAAGCGCCGAGAGAACGGTTGGATCGAACAGTGGGCACGAAGCTTCGGGTTCTCTTCAGAGGACCAAAGACGGCCCAGGCTGTTCTTCTTTTCCTGCTTCTTCCCTCAAGTCTTTCTCCATGTTCATCGAATGTCCGAAATACACGTAAGAAAGACGATTTTATAATAGGAGCGCCTTCCAGCACCATTTCCGCATCTTCGCAGAGAACGTTCTCCATGAACTAAGCCTTTTTCCATTTAGTCGCAATCCGATCCCCTTCCCTACTTCGTTTATCTCCTTCAGATCGTCTCTGGTTTAGTGATACTGCTCAAAAAGAGAGCGATGTCGTCCACAAAACGAAGGTTCGTTAGGAATTTCGTTAGGAATTTCCCATCAACTCGTATGTATGCCTCAATTGGGATGGTCAGGAAGCGATGGATAGCTGCATCATTGTTGTACAATCCTTGTAGCAGTCGATTAGTGTCCTCACATAAGCTAGGTCCACTCTTTGATCAACTAGCCAGACAAAATGGCGCTGGTTTCGACGCTGTTAAAGGCTTTCTCGTAATCGGCGAAGATCAGGACGAGAGGAAGTCGATACCTCCGGCAGACTTTTATGACCTTTGAAAGCGTCTGGATGTGGCCATGCTACTAAATCCCTTGTGGAATCCAGCTTGTTCTTGGGGTTGGGCTTTATTTAGTGTCCTAGATGTGCGAGCGAGTATAATCTTGAAAAGTTTGTAGAGCACACTCGTGAGGCATATTGGACGGTAATTCCGAAAATCCCCCCGTTCGCCTTTTTTGAACAGAAGGACGGTTCTTTATGCTCTCCACTGGTCGGGAATCCTTTCCTTTTGAAGGTAAGATGTTAGGTGCGACGCGAGAATCTCGTGTAGACGGTGTCCTCCAGCTCGCAGAAATTCGACTGAAAGATGATCTGGTCCCGGAGCCGTGGATGTCTTCATGGTCTGAATTCTCATGCGCACCCAGAAGGTAGATTCGTGGTGTTACTTCTTCAGTGGGAACGACAGGCATCGGCAGGAGTGTTGATGAGCGGGAAAGGTTGGCGTAGAAGTTTCTTGCGATAGTTTCCATTCTGTATCGGATAGAAGTCGGAGTCCCGTCTGTGTTCAAAGTGCAGCCAGCGGCCGTGATATTCGCAGAGGCTCGCACTTTGTAAGACTTGTCATCCTTCGGCTAATTCCAGTATCTTGACTTGCCTGTACTTCCTCAGACCCTCACGCAAAGCTGTTTTGCACCTGGCGTTAGCTATCATTCGCTTGAGATGAATCGCATTCGAATTTTGCCTCAAAAATCTTCTTCTTTCGAGTAATACCTTGGTGACCGTCGAAATGCATTCCAGATTCTTTTCGGAAGTCGCTGCGGCGTCATTATCGCTTTTTGATTTCGTGACTTTTTGTAGGAGCAGTCTCTTCACTATCGCTGAAAGAAGAGTCGCTATCGTTTTCATGTAGTGTAAAGAATGCTGCCAAAATTGCAAAGTCCACATTTTCACCTTGTGTGCTTCAACTCCATGTATCACAACGAAGCGAAACATGTCGAGGGCTCAAACACCTGTCGCATTTTCGAGGACTGTGTTAGCGAATCACATAGAGTTTGAATAAAAAAGCTTTTTTTAACACGTTTCAACACCGCGAAATCGCGCGCAGCGAAAAAGAGGGTACTTTCAGCCGTTAGCAAACAAAGGGACCTTAATTCGTAGATTATGTGCTACATCTATAATCAGCATGTCAGATAAGATCCATACCCAGAGTTCTGAGTGAATTCGAAGTCTTTGCATTTTGTCGTATGAGAAGGACTTCTGTGCTTTTTTGAAGGATAGGAACAAGAACTCAGTCTCTAATTGTATCCAAAAGCATCTGTGTTGTACACGATACGCATCGTTATTGAAACTACGGTTTTCTCTTTGTATTCAAAGCTAAGAAAAGTTGCAACGTCGCACGCGTCGTTCGCGTCGCCGCACTTCGTTGCAACCAGGGTCAAGCGTGTTGATGCGATCCGGGACCCTCATTTACAACCCCCCTTGAGGGCTCCATCCGTACGACCCCCCCCCCCACCTTCCCACCCCCCATTTATCCTCCTTACCTCCCCTGCCCTCATTCCTCGCGGTAACCTGCATAAACGAATGTCAATCCGAAAAAACACCTGCGTGAGAACTTCAGTGAGGTTTCTGAAGCAGAATTTCTAGGACAATGGGTGCGTCCAGCATTTGTAGCACACATACACACCTTCAATAATGTTTGAGAATCTGCAAGTTTTTTTTTTGAATTTTCAGGCATACTTCAGACCAGCAAATTCGATTCCCGTAGGCGACACAATTTTTTGCACTGAGAAAAATGACATTTTTGAATTACAAAAGATGTTTCGGACTAAGAAACTTACTTCCTACCTCTTCTACAGTTTTTCCCGCTAAAAAAACGTTTGAGCGCCGTCCAGAACGACGTCAAAAACGTGCATGAGCACGGTAGTTTGAAAATTCGTAATTAAGGCCAGGAAAAAACTGAGAGGCTGCAAAACACAGGTTCTGTAGTATAGTGGCCAGTCTATCCATAGAAAAAGTTTCAGCTTTTGAGGAGCAGTAAGCTCGAAAAATTTTAGATGCGACTCTCGCAAATTTAGATGCGATCCTAATAAGCAAAAATTGAGATTTTTGATCACAAAATTTTGTAACTAACCAGAGAAGTTATAAAACAGCTTGCAATTTTTATGAGGGGAAGTAGAAGAATGGCCTCATATTATAGCAGAATTGCAGCCAACAAGCTTTAATGGATGCGACCCAGATACGACCCCCCTTTCCCGATTTTTTGCTACCATACATAAAATTATAAGAAAATCCATAGTTGACAAAATAACACCAAATTTTGCACTGATGTAGCGGAGCATCTCCGAAGTGCAGGTAAATCATATGGGCCCGTGAAAAAACATTACAAAAAGATTTAGAAATTTATGATGGTCACAGCTGGTAAAGATATTCACTTCTGTTGAGTGTGTGAGACTTCAGGAAGGCTTCAGAAGCAAGATTTCTAGGGCAATCGGTACATTTAGCATTTTTATCAAATAAAACATCTTTCGAAAGTGTTTTGAGCTCTTGTAAATGTTTTTTTTTTAGAATTTCTACAGATTTTTTATCTTTCTTATTCTGATTTCCACTTTTTTATAGATTTATTCTGAAGAACACAACTAATTATCTGCTTTTCGATTCCCCTTCAAGCTTAGGGTATTTTAGCCTAACTACCTTCTCTTACGACCCCCCCCCCCCACCTTAGGTACCCTTTTTACGACCCCCGTTGCGACAGTCGCATCACAAGCTTGACCCTGGTTGCAACTGTTGTTCGATTTGTCCTCATATCTCCTAAACAAATATTGGCGGCACAGCTCTACAGAGTTATATGAAAAGCCGGAGCCTGGGCCTTTGACATGATAACCTTGGACAAAAAATAAAACCTCCCGTAGACGTTGAAAAGATCCTTCAAAGGCGCGTGCTGCACGTGCAGCACCGGTCCGAAACGTGTTAAGATAAAGTTGATGGCGTCAAGCACAACCCCTCAGTCATGCTGAATGGCTTTTGTAGCATTTGCCTAACCCTCCCACAAGTGTTGGACCCATACCCTCTTCTTGCTATAGTAAAAATTTAAAGT